CCATGAGATGCCCCTGGTACCTTTTTCATAGGCTTTTTTGAGTTTGGGCAAGGACACAGAGGCCCCATGATCCCCTATTGCCCGGGGGCCCCATGAGTTGTCAGTCCGCCCCTGCACAGGTCAAAACACATTTCCTTTGCAATGTGTTTATTTCCTAGCTCCGGGCTTCAGTCTGTGTTAGCTCCTATGCTTCTATATTCCTACTTCTTTGGTGGTTGCTGATGTCGTATTTGCACCGACTACGTTTGTTCACTGCTTGTGTTACCTTTGGCCTGCATCTCTTTCTATATCTGCCTATCAGCCTTGTACCACACTCTGCTACTAACTTCAGGTCAGCTGCCATTTGCAAAAGTGTGCCTGTAGGTCAAAACCTGGTATACCTATCAACAGAGACCAACATACCTTACTGGGTGCTCTGGCGAAGATCTGATGGCCTGTACTAATGCCTGGTACACACATGGCCAAATATCAGCCAGTATCAGTCAGTTCAACAGAACCCGGCCAATTTGGCATGAGTGTACCGCAGCCTGTTCAACCGAAGCTGGGCAAACATCCAGCTTCTGTAGAACGGGCATGCCAGAAAAACATCTGCCGATTGGCATCCGATCAGCACTCTCAGCCAATGACTGCAAGTGCTGACTAATGTATTCATTTGGGGGGCAGTCCCCATGTCAAAACACAAAAGTTCAGTGGAAAGATCGGTGTACTAAAATCACATCATTGTCATTAAAGATTAAACATGTTGTCATTAAATAAGTTATAGATTCACTTAATTTTGTACAAAAGGTAAAGAAGTTATTTTAAAAAAAAAATAGTATGCAAATAATTGTGGCACTGAATGCGTGCTTTCCTGTCTGTCCTCCAGTATGCCGGCTGTCCTGTGTGGGAGCTTCTGTCTTGGAGGCAAGTATCAGATATCAATCTTCCAATATTTCAGCCAAGCAACATACTCTCCAGCTTTGCCTAACCTCTACAAGAGAATGCGCTGGAATATTGAGGTCACGGAAGGGACTGCTGAAGGAAGTGTGATCACTACCAAATAGTATGAAACTGAATTTATAAACCATGAATCTGTCTTTATAGAAACATTCCTGGTCCACCTAAACTTTGTGTCACTTCAATGTTTGACCTTTATTCACAGTTATTTCTTATGCTGTAGAGAAGAACCGATAATGGGAGTATCCGAACTTATCTATGCACCTGGTCCCTCTGAATCTCAGAAACAGTTGGTATGGTCCATAGGACAATGGGGTGCCCTGGATCCAACAGAAGATGCAGATATTGAATCTTGGTGAGAAGGACATTGGCAGTTAACAATAAATTGTAAAATGGCTGCTAGCTTACTTGCCATATCTATCACAATGTACAAAACGTGGCCAACATTAAGGTTTGAGCCATTTTGGTAGTGACTTTGAGTTTCAGGCTACAACAAAGCATTGTATTGAGTATGTAATTTGTAGGTATTCAAAGGCCTTAATTTTCAGTCTTGCCTTAGGGGTCTTTACATGAATGTTCAGATCGGATCCGCCTACCCTTTTTTCAGTTGGACCTGATCAGAACCTCCTTTCTGCTCTATGGAGCAGCGGGTGTAAACGGACATGTGTCCGTTTACAGCCACCGACATCCGATCTGATCCGATCTGCCAATAAGGGACGGATGGGGATCCAATTCGCCTTCTGTCAATGGGATTGGATCAGATGAGAATGGGCAGGCGGTCCATTTTCATCCGACCGCCCATTGAGTTGAGCGAGCTGCTCTGAGTCTGCTCTGCAGCAGCAAAGCAGACACAGAGCTGTCATCCTCTTGCTCAGCGGGGATCAGTGGAGAGATCCCCCGCTGAGCAAGCAGAACCACTAAACGGGTCCGCCCCGTGTGAAAGGACCCTTAGACACCAGCACTAAGGAGAAACAGAAATATCATTGATAGCCACAAGAATTAGAATTAGTCTTTTTTCAAGTAGCTTCCAAAGTCCCATCCAGAAAAAAAGACTCACACTAATTATTAAGACTTTGATCAAGGATCAGAGCCTCAATTATTGCATATGTTCTCAGAGGGGTTCTCTTGTTAACCCAAGTAAAGCCTGATAAACAAAGCTCAATAGTGTGATGTTAGATATATCGTTTATTGGCCAACCTAAGTAAGCTCCATCCATTTAGAAATATTTATGCATGATGTTGTGTTTTTATGGATAACTAGGTAAGCGTTATTATAATCTATCTTCCTAAATCTCAATATATTATCTGTCTTGCAGGATCTTATGCTCACAGCCTATTGCATACTACAATCTTCTTTTCATAATTGGCTTCCATGAACCCTCTCACACTGTGGCCACTGATCTGGTTGTACAAATCCTCAGTGGCTCTGAGGAAGGAATGCAACTGTGCAAGCAGCACCCCCCTGCCTCCAGTGCCAACGTGCTAACATCTGATATTCCAAATCTAGGAAAAAACAGTTCATAATGCAGAAGAGAGAAATGAGACACCATAGTTTATTAATATAATCTTTTATACAAAATGTCGTGCAAGGTGACATAGACATTGTGTTTTCTCTCTCTGATACAAGTTTGTGAAGTTCTGTTAAATTTGTGAAGGCTTCATGTAGAGCTGTCACAGGGCAGCATCTGTCACTGGATGGGTTTGTTATCACAAGTGTGACTTTGTTGTTCCTACAAAACAGTTGCTCACATTTCTGTGGAATTCATACCTGGGTATTTATGTGGATTGCCTCTCTTGGTTGAGCTATGGCATGCTCTTTGGCCAATAAAGTCAGTGACTGCACAAAGCAGACCAAAAAAAGGTGTGGTGTTTTTGTGTATTTGTTCTTTTTTTAACAGTGAATTTATGGTCTTTATATTGGTTTTTTAGGTCTAAAAACAATTTTATAAATGCCTAACTTCTTTAATATTGTGAAGTATTGCCTGTTAGTATTTCAAAAATACTTTTCCTGCCAGCAGGTGGAGCTTAGGTTCCTTTTCACATATTTAGCAGGCTCATCATAGCTGCTTTGTTGAAATAAAGCCTGTTATTTACAGTGCTAAAGTCAAAATTTATACACTGTTTTATGCAAGCAATTCTGCCCCTAGCCCAACCTTTCTGCCTCCAGATCTGTTTAGGATTAGATAAAGGGTTGTATTGGGATTCAATTTAAAGGTAGAGACTGTCTGAATGCAAATAACTTCTACTGTGCTCTCTGTATAGTGAACCCATAATAGTGTGACACCAGTGTCATGGGTGCACCTTGCTTTCAGTGTTTAATTTTCAAAGATGTGGTAATGATATTTTAAAAAGTTTCAAAAGTAATAAACTGTAAAAAAAATTCACTCTAAACGATATAGTTTCTTTTTAAACAAATTCTGTAATGTCAAAAAAACTGCCATTACACCTGAATTATAGGCCATTCTGGCAGCCAGAGCCCCACTCCTCCCCTACTTTGTAGTATGGTAGCTTGCCTTGTCCATCCCCCCCTCCACACATTCCTATTAACTTTTTACTATTATGGGCTGCCTCATTGGGAGGTAGAAGGAAGGAACAAACTTCAACAATGCCAGGGGGTGCCAGAGATCTGCTTATCAGAATGGCCTGGCATTGGGGCTCAGAGGCACGACTTAGAGTCTTCTGCAAGTAAGGGTAGGCACCTTTACAGTAGACACCTTGGGCGGGGTTTACTAAAACTGGTGCAGCTGTGCATAGTAACCAATCAGCTTCTAACTTCAGCTTGTTCAATTAAAGATATAATAAAGGCAATTAAAAAAAAAGATAACAAGCATGTTGTACTTATTTGCTCTGTGGTTTTGCACAAGCAGCCCCAATCCTCCTCTTCTTGGGTCTCCCGCCTGCACTCCTGGCCCCTTTCTCTTGCCAGGTGCGCCCAGAGCAAGCAGCTTGCCATGGGGGAACCCAAGTTGGCTCGCTCCTGAACTGCTTTTCTGCATGTCCATTCACACAAAGAGCCGCAGCTCGGCCTGCCCCCTCTCTCTCTTCATTGGCTTACTGGCTGTGAGCCTTTACATCCACTTTAAGCTAATAAAACATGGAAGCTGATTGGTTACTATGCACAGCTGCACCAGTTTTAGGAAATCTCCTCCTTTGTACCTGACTGTAAGTTTGTATATGACAGACTTGCTTTACGTTTTAGACCTCTGGTATCTCAAAAAGCTGTAAGAGCAGTCTAAATTATCTCCATTATGTTCTCTGACATGTGGTTTCAGGTTTGGCTAAGTTGAGAGTATCTACAATAGATGTAGCAGGCCACAGGTCAGCTGGAGAGATAACACTGGTCAAAGTCCATGAACCCTAAAGGCTGTCCATACATGGAGCAAGAACTATTACCATGCAATAATTTCACAGTGTATGGAGTACGAAACATCACATCAGAGAACCTCAGAAGAACATTTTCACTCAATCTTCAGCATATTGGAAGATTTTTTTCAAATTACCCATTGTCCTCTTTTAAATGTCCAAAGATAATCTAGCACTGAATAGAGATAAGCCACTAGGAAAAGCTCCTCCAGTAGACACAAAGAAATAATATGTACGTGAGGTGGGAAAAGAATATTCTGAGGATGTGGTCATTTCATATATGACCAACATAAGACTGCAATGAGCAGCAACATTTTATTTTCAAGTCATCTAGGTCTTATACTGTCCAAGTCCATGATCCGACTCCTTGATTTGTAGCATTCTCAACACTACTATCATGCAAAATCAAAATTCTAATGAGGTGTCCAATGGTTCTTCTTAAGGATTTTTGTATTCTTGTGCAAGATCCATATGTACAGCTAGAGGTTGTCTACTCCACAGAATTTTTGTATTTCGCCTTGTAAAGGCCAAAATAAAGACACACTCCTTGATTTGTAGAACTGGTTACTACAATCGTTCATGGAAATTTTTATTTTTCAAAGATCTTTTCATTCCTGTGTAAGATCTTTATGTACAACAAGCAGTTTTCTCCTCCACGAAGTTTAAAATGTTGTTCCTGTATGATGTTTTGATGTAAGAAGTCTATAGATGGCTGACTGCACTGCGGTCAGAGCTCTGGAAGTCTCCAGGATCCCAGCGGATTGGTTTCCCTCCTCGTACTCGAGCCACTCTCACAAAGATACTGCAAAGACGATGAAGCACAGAGCGGCGAAGGAGGATGTACACCCAGGGGTCTAGGATCTGGTTGCAGGAGGCTAGGCGTACAGTTAACAGCAGCCAATTGGGATGAGGGAGAGGGGGGTACCAGTTTGTAACATCACCACAGAGACCTGCAGGTAGGGAAGACATTGAGAGTATAAAGACACTTGTGACAAAATCTAACACCTCATTAAAAAACATGCAAATGTTGTTTAACCTCTTCCATACCGGGCACTTTTACCCCCTTCCTGCCCACGCCATTTTTCAGGTTTCAGCGCTCTCACACTTTGAATGACAATTGCGCTGTCATACAACATTGTACCGAAACTAAAATTTTATCATTTTTTTCACACAACTAGAGCTTTCTTTTGGTGGTATTTAATCACCACTGGGATTTTTATTTTTTGCTAAATGAACAAAAAAATACTGAAAATTTTGAAAAAAAACACGTTTTTCTTTGTTTCTGTTATAAAAGTTTGCAAATTAATAATTGTTCTTCATAAATTTAGGCCGAGATGTATTCTGCTACATGTCTTTGCTGTAAATATCCCAAATTAGGATGTATTATTTAGTTTGTAGGAAAGTTATAGAGTTCACAAACTATGGTATAGATCTGAATATTGATCAATCCTAAAGTACTGACAGCCAATCTATTTTCTTGAGGTCCAAGAATGTCAGAACAGTACAGATATCCCCCAAATGACCCCTTTTTGCAAAGTAGACAGTCCGACGTACTTCATAAGAGGCATGGCGAGTTTTTTGCAGTTGTATTTTTTTGTCATAATTTTTCGGAAAATTAAAAAATGAAAAAAATAATTTTCACTATTTTTTTTTTACATACTGTCACCAGTGCAGTACAGCAGCATCATATAACTGGCATGGCGGTGATCAGGAACACTGACTGGTGACAGTATGAAAAAAAAATTATAATTTTTTTTAACATTTTTTTAATTTCTTTTATTATTTTTAATATTTTATTAAATTTTTTCTCTTTTTTCAGATTTTTTTTTTCATATTTCACCATGACCAAAGTAGTACAATGTTACCATAGTAACATTGTACTACTTTGGGGAAGTGATCAGTATTTTTTTTTCTATTACACAATTTGCTTATAGCAAAGAATTACTTTGCTATAAGCAAGCATTTACCTGAATGACATCGATTCATTCAGGGTTTTTTTTTTTGTGCTTAGCTGTGATTTGGCCACGGCTAATCACATGACACAGCTGGGCTGTGATTGGCCCAGCTTGTGCATGTGATCGCTGTGACCATTCACAGCTAGACATACTAGTATACAATGGATGGCATGAATGAAGCCATCCATTGTATACAACTGTCATGTGACCTGCTGTGATTGGTCACAGCAGGTCACATGGTACCGGCAACAGGGCCGATACTCAGATCTGTCATCGGCCGTGTCTGAGGTACACGGCCGGTGACAGATCGCGCCGCTTTGCGGCTCTGCAGGCGCGCAAACTGTGCATGCCCGGGAGGACGCCGTATGGCGTCCACACGGAACGCTGAGGGATTTTGCCGGACGCCAAACGGCCATTGGCCAGGCGGCAAAAGGTTAAGAAAAATGATATGCTACAAATAGGAAGGGCTTTCATTTTACTGTTTCTCAGTAATTTGGAATGTTAATATTTAGCTCTTCCTTCTGCTTCACTTTTGTCTAGTCAAATTAAGCCCTATTTCTCAAGTTCAGCCAAAACGTTTCTTTTAGTTTTTACAGAGTGGGGAAGGAAAGGAACGCATATCAAGCTTTTTACTGCTCTCTGTTTTCCCATTAGGGAGATACAGGGTGTTATAAGGACAGGAAATGATCAGACATATTTCCATGGGGAACAGAGAGAAAAACTGTTGGGGTTTGGGGTTAAAACATCAGTCAGGTTTTTATTGCTCTCTTTTTTCCTGTACTTTTTGCATTCGGCCACTCTCATTTCTTGTCCTGGTGTCATAAGGACAGGAAGCAAGGAAAATCACTGTAACTGGGACGCAGGCAACAAGTAAAATCTGACAAAAGTTGTGACTGTTACCTACTTTTTGAAAAAAAAGATAGAGATGGACTTTAAGCTTTTCTACATACTTACCTGTAAAATCCATTTCTTGGAGTACGTCACAGGACACAGAGCAGGCTATTCATGACTATGGGGGTTATATGCCACCTATAGGTGAATGGACACAAGCTGACCAATCAGAGAGGAAGTTCACTCCTACTAACCCCTCCTACACAGGAAGTACTTCAGCTTTGTAGCAAGCAATAAAATTCCAGAAAGAGGGGCGGGACCAATGTGTCCTGTGATGTACTCCAAGAAATGCATTTTACAGGTAAGTATGCAGAAAAAAAATTTTTCTTTATCGTACATCAGGGCACACAGAGCAGGCTATTCATGGCTATGTGGGATGTCCTAAAGCAATAAAAAATCTGACACTATAATAGCCACAACCATCAATCCCATAGGGCCTACTCAGCCATTCATAATATGCTGCGGTCAAAAGCAGAATCCTCCATGGCTCTGCCATCCACCTGGTAAAACCTTGTGATTATATGAACCAAAGAACATGAAGCGGCCTTGCAAACCTAAGCAACTGACACCTGATGGCGGATAACCCAAGACACCCCCACATTCTTGGTAGAGTGTGCTCTCACCCTTCACACCATAGGCTTGAATAATTAACTGGCGTATCCAATGAGAAATAGTTGCTTTGGCTGCCGCCTGCCCTTTTTTGGGCCTATCTGGCAGAACAAACAAAGAATCTGATTTTCTGATTTGTGCCTTCATTCTCAAGAAGACCCTTACAGCCAATACCACATCCAGGGCATGCAAAGATCTTTCTCTTGATGGCCGAGGCCTAGGAAAAAAATAAGGCAGTACAATGCCGTAATTTAAATGAAAACTAGAAACCACCTTTGGCAAAAAAAATGGATGAGACTGCAATACGAACTTATCCTGATGCTAAATAAAAAGTGGCTTTCTATAAGACAGAGCTGCCAGCTCTGACACCCTTCTTGAAGAAGTGATTGCCACCAAAAACAGAACCTTCTATATCAATGGAGCTAAATAAATCTCCCTAACAGGCTCAAATGGTGGTTTCTGTAATACTGCCAAGACCAAGTTCAAGTCCCAAGGACACGGGGGCTGTCTCATAGAAGAAACTATGTGCATCACTTCTTGCAGAAAAGTATGAACCAAACAGTGACATGCTATGAGTCTTTGGAAAAATGGCCAAAGCTGAAACCTGGCTCTTAACGGTACCCACAGCCAACTTGTTTTTACAAACTGATACCAACTTTTCCAGACCCGATTGGAGAAAAGACAAAATCCTACCAATCACATGTTTCCACAGATGCCATTTCTGGACCTCACACTAGGAAATATAAGCCTTCCAAGTTCTGTAATAAATGTTCTTTGGAACTAGATTTCTAATGTTCAACATTGTGAGGATGACTGAATCTGACCCTCTGGCTCTCAAGATTTGGGTCTCAATAGCCATGGCGTCAAGTACAGAGACCGTAAAGCTGGGTGCAATATTGGTCCCTGAGACAGCAGGTCTGGCCGGTATGGCAGAGGCTATGGACTGTCCACTGCTAGCTTCACTATGTCCGTCTACCAAGCCCTCTTGGGCCAAGCCAGGGCAATCAATATAGCTGGAATTAACTCTTCTTGAATCCCAAGCAGCAGCTGAATCAGGGGAAAATCATTAAATTAAGGATAATCCGCCCCAAGGTATTACCAAGGCATCTACCCTGACCACATCCTGATGCAAAGCTGTGCAACTTGCTGTTGAATCTGGCCGGGCACCCCCAATGCAACCTCCGGATGCAAGGTCCATTCCCCTGGAACTAACTGCTGGCGACGGAGATAATCCACCTGCCAATTCTCTACCCCCAGAATGTGCGCTGCTGATAGAGTTGGAACATGCCCTTCTGAAGCTCTAGGATATTGGTGGGTAGAAATTTTTTCTTGCAGAAACTATGCCCCCTGGACTTTGGCTTCCTCCAGAACAGACACCCCCACCCTAAGAGGCTGGCATTGGTGGTTATCAACTTTCATGCCACTGGCAGAAAAAGATCTCCCTTTCTCCAAAGGTCAAGCTTCCAACCACCAATTCAAGCTCCGCAGTACCCAGGGGGACAGAAACATGTGGCAATCCAATGCTGGAATCCTCCTGCTCCAAACAGAACCTCTGCAAAGATGTGTAGTGAAATTGCGCATGGGGAACTGCTTAATACAAGGACACCATTTTCCCCAGTAATTTCATGCAGAGACATATCAAAGAATAGTTTCTGCCTCCTAAATTCTGAACCTGATCTCTCAGGGCACAGTTCTTTCCTGGAGGCACAAACTCTTTTGCCTGAACCATGTCTAGGACCATCCCCAAATATTTCAGGCTTTGTACTCACAGAGGACAAGGGGGCATTCTTTATGTCTGGTGGAAAAGAAATGTAATCTCCAAACATGGAAAGGTTTGTTCACAGTGAGAGCTGTGAAAATGTGGAATAGGCTCCCTCAAGAGTTGGTTCTGGCCAGCTCAGTGGATTGCTTTAAAAAAGGCCTGGATTCTTTCTTAGATACACAGAATATAACTGGATATAACATTTATAGGTAAAGTTGATCCAGGGAATATCTAATTGCCTCTCGGGGGATCAGGAAGGAATTTTATTTCCCTGCAGGAACAAATTGGATCATGCTTTGCTGGGATTTTTTTGCCTTCCTCTGGATCAACTGTGGGTATAGGATTATAACTTTTTTTTTATTGGTTGAACTGGATGGACTTTTGTCTTTTTTCAGCCAGACTAACTATGTAACTGTAAGCCGTTTACCGGGGTGGGCTCCCCAGGATACAGTGAAGTCACGAACAGGGAAAGCAACCCCAACACCAGCTTTTTTTCACAACAGAATTTTACTTAGATGTGGAAAATAAACACAACCACAAATGCTGGAAACATACAATAAATTTACATATACACCCAGCCCAAAGGCTGAGACCCTTGTGCTGCACAGCTTGGCACCTTCTGATGGATGAAGGTAGAAAGTGTAGTAATTTACCTACTGGCGGGCACAAATAAGCTGCCACACCTTACCTGTTATTACCCTAAAAGAGCATTAATCAGTGTAGGGGTGTATGG